CATAGATAAAGCCACAGCCTTAAACAAGTTTCGGTATGCAAGGATTGAGTTTGGATGCAGGGCTGAAAGAAGCTGAACATAAAAGCTGTACATAAAAGGAATTAGGGACAGAGAAGGAAGGGAACAAAGGAAATGATGTGAAGAGAAAGGGAGAGAATCCCATGCACATACTGGGAAACTGAAGCCACATTATCCTATAAGGCTTTTTGAGGATGGAGAAGCCAAATATTCAATTTTATAAGTGAGTTGCTGTCTGAAGATGTAATATTATTAGGGCAACCACATAATTTATGACCCAAACCTGGACCCTTTGAAAGTAAGAGGACATGTTATTCATAACATCATAATAAACCAGGATTGTCCCAGGCAAACCAGTCCTAGGGTCCCCCCAAGCATCAACTTCTTGTCATTATCTTCAGATTCAGCAAAACTGGCCACACCCAGATGACTTGTGTGAGTTTTCAGAAAGAAACTTAAGAAAAAAGAAGCTGCTTCAGGTTCTGAATGCTGAGTACTAGCAGGAACAACTTTCCCTGCCCTTGCACTGCACCAGCGGGGAGAGGACTGAGAGCTGGTCGTGGTGACCAGGAGAGAGACTGAGTGGGACATGCAGCTCTCCCTGCACTGGGTTTGGAATCAGCCAACTGCTTGAACCTTGGCTAGCAGATTAGTTATACCATGTTCCAACCCTATTTCTCTTCATTCATTAGATGGGAGGACATATTAAATGTATTCTTACCTAGAAAACTAAAAATTTTAATTTTAATTTTTAAAAATGTACCAGGTGTCTCTTTCCTATGGTATCTCTAGCTAGCTTCTATGGCTTCTACTTCCACTTATCTAAAAGGGAGGAACAAACGTTACCTAGAAAACTAAAAATTTTAATTTTAATTTTTAAAAATGTACCAGGTGTCTCTTTCCTGTGGTATCTCTAGCTAGCTTCTATGGCTTCTACTTCCACTTATCTAAAAGGGAGGAACAAACTTTTGTTATGTTGCCAGTCCCAGCTCTGCCCAGGTGTCCACGCAGAGTTTCTAGTGTATTAGAATACACCTACTGTGCCTTACCTCACATTCTCTCACAAGAACTTTTTTACTCCCACCACTGTGTAATAACCAACTTCACACAATAGAATCAGACAGCCCAGGGGAGCTATATAATTCCGAGGGACAAGCGCAAAATGAAAATGCAAAGCCCCTTGTTCTAAAATTATTAACACTTTCAAGACAATGACACAAGTGCATTAAACCAAACATGGGGCCTTGTGTGGTTGCACAGGTGGCATGTCCATGGTGAGGATCCTGCTGGCAGTTCATCTTCCTACCCCAGGGCTTCTCTAACTCTGTGGCATTCCTACATGTGCAATCTGGAAGCCTGAGCAAATTACAACCCAATGGGCAATGCTGGAGCAATGGAGGATGGGAGCCAGTGGATAAATGCCACCCTCCTCTGTCGCTCAAGTGGACAATTCAGAGGTACATTCCACATGATGACTCAGAGAGTCCAGTAGGATCAAGCTTTAGCTGTCCACAATGGCAAATGAATCAGCTTTCCCTCTCTCCCTTACCTGGACACAAGCTCCTGTCTCAGAGTCTGCTCTCAGGCTTAAACAAAGGCATAGTTTTGATAAACCAGCTTGCATAGACCTATCTCGTCAAAGTTCTCCCACTTGCCTTCTGAGTTTCAAGAGTCAGGGACCAGAAAAGAGAAGTGAGGATCAAATCTAACCATAGTCCAGAAGAAGAAAACAAAAAGAGAACTTTACATTCATTCCACCCTTCCATCTTCTCAGCTCACCCCACTTCCCATCCTCCCACCCTTATCTGCCTCAACATCATACACTCATATTTTCTTTAAAACCTTTCTGGCCACTCCTTAATACAAGTTTCTAGAAATTCCATTTATTGAAGTCATGTTTTTTCTGACATTCATTTGGCCTTGATCCTCTAATAATCTCACTAGAAGAGAAAACATGACCATAATTCAGGCTCTGAATGGGGTAGGAGGGCAAAATTTATGATTTTTTTTTTCCTTTTTGTCTTTTTTCGTGACCGGAAATGGATCGCAACCCTCAGTGTCACGCCCGCACCGGACCGGGACCGGCCACGGGATCGCAACCCTCAGTGTTGCTCCCGCCCCTCGCTCAG